TATGTGTTAACGATATTATTGCATGTTCTGCCAGCCATGTTCATAGATCTCATTTTGAAATTCATTGGGCGTCGACCTATGTAAGTCTTAAATAAAATATTTAATTAATTTAACAAATGCAAATTAATTATCAGGAAAGACCGTGGAATATTTAAATATTAAGATCAACAAATGCCAACACGGTACAAAGTGGATTTTGATGCTTTTATATAATATTATAGTGTGAATCTTACAATTTTCGGTATATATAACACCACGTGACCGCAAATCGCGTGCATCTCCGCAGCTCCGAATCAAGTAGTATGTAATATTACAATTAAATTGCCAAAGGCAATCTAATAATATGAAAAATGCAAATTATTTTAACTATATATTTGTCTCAAACTGAGTTCCACAAATTGAAATAATATATATATTTTCTTTTTAGTAAAAACTTATATTTTTATCATAAATATGTCTATGAAACATTATTTTGCGTGCGTTCTTTTTCTTTATCTACTAGTTTTTTTCCAAATTTATTTTATTGTACTTACGAATTCTAAATTTACAAATTGAGTAATATGAAATTATGTCGTTATAACTAAACCATTTTGTGTTAATGAGTAACGTATAAATTTAGGCTAGTACGACTGCTAAGAAGAGTGTATGTGGCCAATTGTGTTGTGAGTTATTTTACATTCCATGAAAGGGAATACAATAACATAAATTCGTTAGCTCTGATGTCCTCAATACCACCTGACAACCTTGATATGTTTTCTTTTAACTATTCTTATATCAATATTAGAGATTATTACACGTAAGTATATTATTATTTTTAATTCTAAATAATATTTACAATTAGAACAATTTAAAACCAAAAAATATTTATATACGATATTTATTTATGATATAAAGGAAATGTACAATTGGTATCAAAAAATTTCTTCTTCACGAAGACATAAATCGATTGGATGCAGCCAAGGCACATTATAAAAGGTATAAATAGTTTATAATTAGTATTTGTTATTGTTTATATATTGTATATTTATACATATTTTTATAATTATTAAAAAATCGGCTTCTGTTTCTATAACCCGTAAAGGTACATCTTTACTGGATTTGACGATTAATTTGTGAACAGACCGCGAACTGTTTTATTTTTAATGAGAATTGCTGTTCGCGAACAGTTTGTAAACTCAAATACGAAAAGAGGCTTATTCTGTCAAAATGAATCTTAGTGTTTAATAATATTAATTTTTATGTTAATCTTTAATTTTAAAATTTAATATTTAGTATTTAAAATTTATTTAAACATATTTTTAGATCTATAAACTACGCGTCGATAACTGTTGGACTATCAAACTATGAAAGTAATTGATTACTCTTTAATTAAGATTATAGATATTGCTTAAGTAACTGATTATTAAATGTAACTCCCAATTCTATTTCATTTTTGCTTATTAGATGTAGTTTGTGAACTGTTAATTAACACTATCAACGATTGATTATTATTTTTAATTGCTGTTTATGAGTAAATTTCTTTATAAGTTCATTCTAGGAGCAATAAAATCAAAGAACAAGCGACAAATGTGAAGGAAACACTGATGTAGATAGCATGTTTAGTTTTTTTCGTACATGTTTCGAATTTATCAAATTTTTTGCATGCAAAATAGTTTGCAAATTGTCCGGTATCTAAATATCTACCTTAAAATAATAATGATTCAATCTCTGATTACTTTTCTACATTTGTTTTAAATTGTACAAGAAATTAATAGATAAAACAAATCTAATGTACTATAAAAATAGTAATAAAATTTATATAGTTATAATTTTAGCAATCACGTTTTAGATAAATATGTCGAAAACGCTAAAATCATTATTATTTTATTTATACTTATTCTTTATTTTTTTATTATACAAATAAATTCCTGTAATGTGTGTGTGAGTGTGTGTGTGCGTGTGCGTGTATCGATGTATATTATATGTATAACATAAATAATTTAGAAAAATGTCAAAAAAAAAGAAAAGATATAAAAGTTTTAGTGTACATTAAATAACAAAATAGAATTTATATAATTTGTGTTTAACAGATAATAATTGTGTTTAACAGAAATAATCGTAGCAATTATGATATATATATGTATACAATAATATATTAATTGTATTTATTTTTAGAGTATCTCTACTTGTTAGAGTGGTGAAAACTATCATCTCTATTGGTATGCTGTGGATGATATATAAGTGGAGCATCCAGATCGGAAGAGCACACGTCTG